AATACAGAGCATCCCCATGCATGCTCGATAAATAAATACAGAGCATCCCCATGCATGCTCTAATACAGAGCATCTCTATGCATGCTCTATAAATAAATACAGAGCATCCCCATGCATGCTCGATAAATAAATACAGAGCCATTTCACACTGCAATATGCTGCCTTCTGAAATAACACTGATTGGTCATCATCCATCCATCTGTCCATTATCTTTTACCCGCATCTTCCTTTTTGGGTCACGGGGGGTCACTGGTGCTCATATCCAGCAGTTACTGTGGTGGACACCCTGGACAGGTTTCCAGTCCATCACAGGGACACATAGAGACAAACGAGGCAAACAATCTTTCTCCCTCTCACTCACACCTAGGGACAATTTAAAGCTACCAATCAGCCTAACATGCATGTTTCTGGTCTGTGGGAGGAAACTGGAGTACCTGGAGAAAACCCACGCATGCACGGAGAGAACATGCAAACTTCACCCAGAAAGTCCCCCATTAAATAAAAAAACATGAGTCACAGAGCACATGAGAGTGTGGAAGGTCAGGGTTTCCTCCAGGCTAGGCTAATGGCTAGCCAAACAAGTGCCTGATTATATTGTTTTATTTGTGCTTTTAAGACTATTCTTTCTCAAAAACAACAGCTGGTGTAAAATAATTTATTAGCTGATATTAACTGCCAAATGGCAAAGGTCTGGGAGTTCTTGTCTACACCTGCTGTTTTCTCATTGGAGCAACTTCCATGTTTCTACGCAGATACATCGATGCTGGCTCAGTGGAGCAGCTGCTCCCTCATTTTCTAAAGTCAAGGTGCAAACTTCCCCATTTCTTTTACTTAAAAATGCCACATTATCCCTCTCAACAATAAGGCAAAAGTAGGTGGTGTTTATTAATTCATTCCTCACACAGTGATCACTGGAGACAGGCCCCAGCTCCACCACAACTCTGCATGAACAGAGGGAAGAAACTGGATGGATGGACAGTGAAAAACTGAACAAATAATATTTAAAATATTTTGCCTCAGCTTTGATAAACCAAAACTTTTTCTGGCTATGAAAACAGAACAAGAACACTGAGTGATATCACACCATGCAGGAGGGCAGGAGACCCACACATTTCTAAAATGTGGGAATATAAATCTCTTGATGCTGATTGATTCATCAAACCCTCAATCATGTATTGATTGAGGGTTTGAACAAAACTCTCCCTAAATATGGCCTAAAAGTTCAAATTTTGAACTGTGTTTTAATAAATCATGATATTTTGCCATGTTTTCAATAAAAACTATTATGAAACTTGATGGGACTTCTGCCATGTTGATGGCCACTGATGCATGATGACTCAGTTATACACCCATTCTTGCTCCTCTACTATTTGGCAGAATGTCACTTCAAAACTGACCCGACTACTTCTTCAGCTCCTGTTATTAACTAATCAAGAATTTGAGCAATGTCTTGCCAAGTTTGGATCCTTTTTTTTTTCCAAGTCTGGTTTGCAGTTTGATATTTATGATGATTTCTGGACTCACTGACTCTGATTGCTGAGGAACAATCTTTTAAAAATCCATCAGAATTTGTGTTTGCAGGTTTTGACGTAAATGCAACAATATTTGAAATAAATCCAAGCAGAGGCAGAAATACCTGAGGGGATCGGCGGTGGGGAACAAATTTCTAGAAAGGGGCTGCGTTCCGGGGTGGGGGCTCGTTGGCAGGCCTCGGCATCCCCGTTGTGAAGAAGCAGGTCAATTATTTCCTGTGTCCATGTGGTCCCTGATTTCCCCAAAAGACACAGAATTTAGACTGGGTTAAAGAGCTTAAGTGAGTGGGTTACTGGAAAAGGAAGAAAGCAAACAGTTCAGAGTGTTCTGTCTCATTTTTTATGCAACATTTAGGAAACACTCTAACCACATTAGATTGTAGACGTGAACTTTTAAAATCAGTATCATTTGCTTGAAATACATTCAATTGAGTTTATTTACCAAGTCACAACAGAAGTCATCTCAGGGCTCTGAACAGAAACATTCATAGAAATAAAAAGTAAGTTAACATTGTGTATATTAACATTATAAAGCAGGTGGAAGAAGATGATTCTAGTAACGTTTTTAATGTGGGGGATAAAAGACATGTTCTGGTCAAAGATAACACCAAGTTTTTTTTACATTAGAGCTGGAGGACAGATTAATGTCATCCAAGGAGGGTGAAAGACTGAAAAATGTATTCCTAAGATGCTCGGATCCAAAAACCAAAACCTCAGTGTTGTCTGAGTTTAAAAGCAGAAAATTTAGGGTCATTCAGGTTTTTATGTCTTTAAGACATGCTTGTAGTCTAAGCAGCTGATTGGATTAATTGGGTTTCATGGACAAATATAACTGTGTGTCATCAGCATAACAATAAAAATGTATCCCATGCTGTTTAATAACTTTACCTAATGGAAGCATATACAAGGTAAAGGGTACTGGTCCAAGCATTGAACCCTGAGGAACTCCACAATTAACATTCAAGTATAAAGAAGATTCCTTATTTACATTTACTAATTGGAATCTATCATTCAAACCAATTTAGAGCAGTTCATGCAATCCAAATATTATATAAAAATAAATAAATAAATAAATAAATAAATAATATAATAATTATAAAAATTTGTATCCATCACACATCCTCAAACACAAGAGGCCAACAGAATTTTTCTGTTTCCATTTTTACTGCTCGTTAGTCTTCATGCTGAGACCAGAGCAACATATTCTTATTTCAGCATTGCTGTAAATCAACAAATCTTTAAAGAAAATTCAAAATAAGACCTCACATTCCTGCTAGGTGATAACTAACAATAATAATTTACCTAATCCGTAATCCGTTTTTGCATTAAATACAACAAAAACAAAGATTAAAAGTATAAATCTGTACGTAAAATGTCATTTAGACCCTTAATATTTTATTGAACTGTAAGAATACTTTGACCTGGAGGTAGACTAGGGATCAATTACAGGTCGCCTCAGGTGTTTTATACTACCTGATGTAAAATCTTGCCGGAAATCCTTTTCATGCTACTCTGAATTTAATAAAATCCCTCTAGGTTATAAATTAACATTTATTTAATGCTCAAGAACTTTTAACAGACTTTCTTTAAATACATACAGTTTATGACGTGGACTAAAACCTCCTTTCTGCAGGGTTTGAACTGTGCAGAGGTTTCAGGGTTGGTAGTCTGGAGTACCTGCTTTGGGGTAGGTGGCAATGAGCAGATCTGACGGGTCCGGACGGAAAGCCCAGATGGAGTCCCAGTTGTTGGCGATGTGGCACATGAGAGGAATTCCTCTGATGGGGAGGAGAGGGAAACGAGAGATGGAGGAGTGGGCTTTTTCAATGGCCTCCTTGTAGGATAATATTTTCTCCTCTGACATGATTGACTCTGCTACAAAAACAAGCTAAAAAGTCGAGGAAAATTAAAATCCCAAAATGTAGAGGAATATCTCCAGTGAAGCCGGTGTGGCAGTTCTTCCTGAAGTTCTGACTCCAGCAGCTCGTCCGTCTGCCGCCTCTGTCAACATTCACGGCCGGTCTGATTCTGTCTGAATCACATGTCGTCAGTAACTTTCCTCTTACGTGACAGCCAATCCCACAGTCACTAACTTCCTTGTCCTTATCTCTTCTTTGTGGCGTTACCCGCTGTCCAAGAACCTTTCCTCCAGCTCTGAGCTTTTCAGCAAAAAAATAATAATGATCAGAGAATAAAATTCAAGAATCTATCAGCGGAGAACAATTCTTTGTGAAATTAAAAAGCTTCACTGAAGTGTTTTCTTTCAGTCTATTTCTGTTTGCATGCCAGCTTCCTGAGAGCTTCTTATCTCTGCAATCACTGGATCTTGCACTAACGTGGCCTTATGCAACAATCCCAGTTGAGTATGATCCCCCCCACCCCCCACCCCCACTAACTTTTTAAACTGCTTTCCTGTAATTTGAGGAAAGGACAAGGGAGGGTCTTCTAAGAACCACTGAGAGGTGAGGTAAGAACAGTATGTTCAAGAGGTGGATTATCTAAAACCAGTTCTCATTCATTAACATGCCATTAATGTACTTTTCTCCTGTTTTTATTGAACTAACACATTGTGAGGCTTAATCATTAATCTCAACAAATAAAACATTTTTAATTGTCAGGGACATGAAATGTATGGAAAAAGTTAAAACCCATCTTTGGACCCTTTAAAAGTCAGGCTGACCCGCTGCAGTAAAACAACAGTTGGCACGTGTTAATTATCATATCTGTTTGTAAAGGCTTGTGGAAACTTTGTGTTCATCATATCCATTCATCTGCTTAATTATAACCAAAAATCTACAGAGCGCTGAACGTTCAGCTTGGTCTTTTCAGCCAGAAGCAGCTGTTTTGATTTTGCATTCCAGGATTTCCACTGCTAATATCCTGCCGACAGTAGAAACAATATTTTCACAGAAAATAAAGCTGAGCTCAACATGAGACGCCAAACAAAGAACTGTAAAAACAAATGTTATTAACAATGTAAAGTTTAAACATACCTCAACAGCACTTTCATTCTGATGCAAGAAGAAACAAAGAATATGTGCAAGTTGCAAAGTTGCAGTGCACAACTAGACCTACAAGAAAATTATTACATTGCATTAAATGTAAAAAAAAAAAGAAAAGAAAAAAAAAGCCATAAACTATGGGGTGTTGTTTGTAAAGTTGCGCATTCAAAAATTAACATCAATATTTTGGTTTATTTAGCTTTTAATAAGTAAAAAATATTTTTTTCTTTTCAAAGTCATATTTTCACCATGCTCTTCATACAATTATAAATGTCATAGTTCCCATCTAAATATTTAATTTAAAATATAAATATTTAGTTTACAAACTAATCACTTAACTTGCAAGTTAAATATTTAGTTAGTAAACTAAATATTTAGGTGTAAATTAAATATTTAATTTACACAAACATATGTAGTTTACTAACTACATATTTAATTTCTTAGCTAAACATTTAAGTCCTCAACTAAATATTAATTTGCTAACTGAATATTTAGCTCAGACCTAAATATTTAACTAGCAAGTTAAATATTCATCTAGCAAGTTGAATATTTAGCTAACAAGTTAAATATTTAACTAGCAAGTTAAATATTTAGGTCCAAGGTAAATATTTAGTTAGCAAATTAAATATATAATTTTGGAAATTAAATGTTTATTGTGTAAAATATATATTTAAGTCAGAGCTAAATATTTAGTTAGCAAATTAAATATTTAAATTAGGAATTAAATGTTTATCTTAGAAATTAAATATTTAGTTAGTAAACTAAATATTTAATGTACACCTATATTTTTTGTTTACTAACTACATATTTAACTTGCAAGTTAAGTATTTAGTTTGTAAACTAAATATTTATCTTGTAAATTTAATATTTAGTTGGGAACTATGACATTTATAAATGTATGAATAACATGGTGAAAATATGACTTTGAAAAAAAAAAAATTTTTTTTCTTATTAAAAGCTAAATAAACCAAAATATTAATGTTAATTTTTGAATGCGCAACTTTACAAACGGCACCCCATAATAAACTCGTATTTTATTCAGAATGGAACATATAGTTAGTTAGTTAGTTAGTTAGTTAGTTAGTTAGTTAGTTTATTTGACAGGGACAGTGCACACAAACATAGAACAGAACAAGTCTGTGACTGATGCTTTGCACAAAGAGTATATATCTACAGCTAATTCACAACTCCAGTCCCTGGATGGGCATTTCTATGCATTAAAATACATACACTTTATCAATAAAAATACAGTAAGAGTACCTACATACTCCTGCCTACATATTCATGAAATCAACCCAACAACCTCCAATTTCATATAATACTATACATTAAATACAAATGATTTAAAAATCTAAATACAATAAAAAAAAAAAAAGTTTTCCTCTACAAATTCTAAAATAACTTTGCAACCCACAAATTTGCATAAATATCACAGCACCTCCTCAATACCACCCCATCCTCACACATTCAGCTAACATACTAAAAACTGTAAATATAATACTAACTCACTAATACATACACTCCCACAAAGACTTTTGCATTTATAAAATCCAAGTATTCAAAATGATCACATCTTTGATTTTCCTTTAGCCAAGATGTAGTCATGTAAACAAACTTTTTTAGTTCAGGTGTAGCTTTTACATGTGGGGGCAATAAGTTACATAATGTTGTGCCTTTATAGGAAAAAGAAGTCTGACCAAACGAGGTTCTAGAGTCAAGCAATTCTGTTCTAAAGATCCTCTGCTGACTCTGCAACTGTTTTGCCTCTGTATAAATGAGCTCAGTGGATGAGGAGCTAACCTATTAATACACTTAAAAATTAATTTAAGAAAACACAAGTTAGAAAAGCTTTCAAAACTCATTAAGTTATGTTTGTCCAGGATTAGACAGTGATGTGATCTTATTGGCTTTTTGTCCATTACTTTTATTGTTTGGTTATACAATGAGACCATTGGCTTAATAGCCGTTATAGTAGCCTGGGCCCATAATGTCATACAATATGAGATATGAGAGAATATCATGGCATGCATATATTGAAGAGCAGCCTGTACAGGAATATAAGGTCTTATTAATTTGAAACAATTAAGGTTACTTTTAACTTTTCTGGAAATGTTGTTTATATGATTCTCAAATTTTAGATGTGCATCTAAAAACAGCCCAAGATGTTTGAATTCTGTTACATTTTTAATCATTTCATCCTGTAAATAAATTTGAAAATTTTGTTGTACGTGTTGTTTTCTAATGGAAAAGCACATTGACACTGTTTTACTTAAATTGATTACTAACTTATTATTGAATAACCAACGGTTCACTTCCTCCATACAGGCAGACAAGACATATGCCGCCTGTTGTGGTGTCTTAGCAGGTGCATAAAATACTGCATCATCTGCATAAAGTTGACAATTTACACCATTGCATACAAGAGGTAGGTCATTTATAAAGAGACTGAATAACAGTGGCCCTAATATAGAGCCCTGTGGAAGTCCCCTTTTGATGTTTAAAAATGAAGATTTTTCTTGAGCCACTTTAACACATTGCTGCCTGTCTTGGAGATATGAAGTAAACCAGCCCACTGCTTCATCTGAAATTTTAAAAGATGCCATTTTAGATAGCAGTCGACTACGACTTACTGTGTCGAACGCTTTTCTAAGGTCTAAAAATACTGCCCCAACCACCTTTCCCTGATCAAGAAACTTCTTTATATTTTCCACCAAGCAGCAGTTGGTGATTTCGGTAGAGTACCCGGATCTAAAACCAAATTGTAATGGGTGGAAGAGCTGATTAGCTTCCAAACAATCAGTCAGTTGTGTTACTACTGTTTTTTCAATCACTTTTGATAATACAGGTAAGATCGATATAGGTCAATAATTATTCGTAGAATCCTGTCTCCCCTCTTTATGTATAAGTACAACAACTGCCTTTTTCCACCCTGAAGGAAATATGGAGGTACTAATTGATAGGTTAACTACGGTAAATGTGTCAATGGCTTAATTAGAGTATTTATATATTTCTTTCAACAGCCACAGTTAGTATTATAGGCATCATTCGAATTTGAGTTAGACAGTTTTGCAATGATTTGCGCAGTATTTCTTTCATTAATTTGTCTAATATAAAAATAATCTTGTGACACCTCCTGAGCGTAGTGATTATCAACATGTGTTGAAATATGTGGTTAAAAAATGTTGAGTTAACTCTTCCACTGATCGTACAAAGTAAGAGTTAAATTCATTTGCCATGGTTAAACTGCCAGTGATAATTGTACCATCTATAAGCAGTTCTTTAATACCTTTATTTTGACTCTTTGTATTAGTTCAATTGTTCAAGCATTTCCAAAGCAGAGTGCTATCACCCCTTGCCCTCTCTATGAGTTGAATGTAATAAGAAGCTTTAGCTTTACGTAGTTGTACAACCACCTTATTTCTCAAACTCTTGTATGACAAGAGATCGGTAAGGAGCTTTGATTTTAACGCTTTCTTTAGGGCTGTATCTCGAGTTTTCATAAGTTTAATAATATCGGTACTTTGTCGTGTTTTGCATTTTATTTCCTTTGTGAATTTTTCTGTTAGCCCTGTCATTGCTACTGTTATAGCGTCACAGCATTCATCCGCACTCTTCATGGCCATTATTTGTTTCCAGTTTAGTTTGTGTAACTCATGTTCAAACTGCAAAATGCTTGATTTAGGAATAATAGATTTTACAGTGTTAATGCTGTCGAGTCTTCCAAAATATCTGAGTCCTTTTTTCAGTAAGTTTTCTGTCAGAGTCAAGTTATGCAATGTTTTTGGGGGAAAATTTAGAATTTTAATACATCTCTAAAAGGTGCAACAAAAGGTTGTAAAATTAAGTGCTATGAATGAGAAGCAGCTGGAGGAGCATTTTACAGTTAACTAGGTTAACTGGTCAGTAAGAGGAGGGGGAATAGAAAGAGCTTCTCACAGGAGTGAATCTCTTAGATGTAAAAATGGGCAGAGGTTCAACAGTCAGTGAAAAATTATGTCTTAAAAAAGTAAAAAACTTTCAGAATGATTTCACTCAATGGAAAATTAGGAAGACTTTCAATATCCAAGTTTAAGATTTTTTTTTAATTATCCTCAAGGGGCAATTTGTTTCACAGTCAGTAGGCACGAAAAACATCCATACTAGACAAGACACTGATACATTAAAATAACACATAAATCATCATTGTTCGTTGAGAAGCATGATCTCTACAGGGATGAACAAGTTTTTCAGTCAGTTCATCCTACATCTGGGCTGTAGATGCCTGCGCCCAGATGGAAGCAACATGAACTCACCATGGAGTGGATGATCAGGATCTGCCAGAATCAGCCTG